GGACACTGGGCGGGGCTGCGGGCAGGAGGCATCGTGGTCCTCTCTAGCTCTAGGTCATCCGAGACATCCAATGAGAGGATGCGCGCATGTGCACAAGTACACACGCACACACTCACACACACACTCACTAGAGAGGGGGGTAGGCTGGCATAGTAAACTCATCTTTGAGGAGAGTCAAGGTAAATTTAATCCTTTACCATAGTCCTCATGATTCCAAAGTCTGTAGGAAACCTGTGTCAAAGTACAACCATCTTGCAAAGAGTGGCTTGACAAAAACTTTAACGACTCTGAAGGTAACACCAAGAAAGCCTAAATTCATCACAGTGATGCCAAAATTTCACTCTACTCTTGGTAGAAGAGTGAAACCACAGATGTCCCCCTTTTCTCTCTTCTTTTATAAAAGAGAGAAACTTTGGTTGCTGTTGGAAAAGATGAAATGTAAATTTGAAGAAACTAAATAAAAAATGTGTTGTCACCTTTACATAGTCATTCTCTCTACTCTCTTAGACGATGTGAAGAGCTTCAAAGGACCTGCAGCAGACATAGCTCCCTGATCCCTGTTTTCTGCTGGGTACACAAATTCTCATACGAAGTCCCATGAATCAACTCCTTGTTTTCCTCAAAGGACTATCGGTTACAACCAACAATACTTTTGAGCAGCCAGGATGATGGAATCCAATCAACTGCACTGCCCAATTCAAAGTTCACCAACTAGAAATCTTGCCCCTGAATAACATGATTGCTTTTCACAGTGTAGTCTTAATTACCATTGAGCTCAGGATTATAGCCAACTTAACATCTCCTTACACACCTGAGAAATTTTAAATTTCTAATCTCTTTCACAGGTGCCTTTCAAACAGCATAATCAAATTTATCTGGCCACCATGTTACTAGTACGTGAATATGAACCTAGATAAATCTCCTCTATTACTTTTTTTAGGAAAGATACGTATTGCAGTTCTCACTTTATAAAATGAGATAGGTTTCTGTACCAGTGGGGTGGGGGGTTGACTGAACACAATGGAGCTAGCCCTTCAGTTTCTATGTAGTAATAGCAACTTGGATTATAGACCAAGAAATATTTTTTGGGGGGAATAATTTTCTTTTTTTTTGCCTAAGTGAAGATCTAATGGCATCATGAGGGCCTACTTTAACCATTTCTCATGGGAATCTGCCCCTCATCCATGGAAACCAGATCTTAAAATTCGTGTGTATCATCCATTTATTAACATCAAATGTTATCAAGACATTATCTCTATTAGTTTTAGATTCATGGGTTTTAGATTTATGTTATTTTAGAAACAATCCTGGACAAATGTTAACAGATACAGTATTAACAGAACTGATCCATGTGCCAGCCATTATTTAACACATAAACATGTCTCAGACATACTGGTAGGCCCTGAGGACCCAAAGAGGAAAACTCTAAGCAGGGTAAAGAGATAAGTCAACCAAGGACTACACTGTTATTGGTAAATGGTGTGATAAATGTAACATAGAACAGGAGTACCTAATGGCTAGAAGTAGATAGAAAAGGATTCTTAGGGAAAGGTATACTTCAGTGGAGTCTTGAACTTGAGCAAGAGTCAACAGACAAAAAGGCAGAAAGGAAGGTACTGCAAGAAAGGCAAAACTGCAGTTTTGCAAAAGAACTGCAAAAGTATGATGATGCACGAGGCAGGCCACTGCTCCAGAAGAGCAATGATCTCTGGAGCACAGGAAGAGAACGATGAAGACAATGATCACAAGGGCATGCAACGTTAAGGAATATAAGCTTAACATTTCTAGAAAGATCCTTCCAATCAGTCTTTTGGAAAAAGTAGTGTGTGAAGGGCAGGGACACTGGAGACAAGGAATTATGAGCATAGTTGAGTGATGCTGTGAAGAGGTAGCTTATACAGCCTTTGAACAAAAGCCATATTATACTAGCAGAGGAGGTAGGTGGTTAAAGACATGGGAAATAAATAGAAGGTAGACCTCTAAGGCCACATGGGGTGTGTAACAGTGCAGGTGATTGTGACGACTCCAGGGGCTCATCGGCTGATGAGCAGAGAAAGAAAATTACAAGCGCGTTTTTAGCCTGCAGTCTGAGGTTGCTAGCGGATATCCAGGTAAAGATGTCGGCTAAGATATCTGGGTGCGGGTGTTAGCTTCTACAGGAATGCCTGGATAGAAGACATGGATGTGAGATCTATTCACGTATAAGTCATAGATGAAATCTGGGGTACAGATGTGATCTCCCACAGAAAGGCAAACCGGTGAGGAACACCATTGCTCAAGTGGAAAAGGGAGCCAGTTGTTTAGGGAACCACAATGCCTCCTTCTCAAATATTTAGTTAACTCCCTAGCCCATCACACACGGAGGTTTCTAAACAAATTCTCTACATATTTTTAACCAGTTTCCTTTCTTCTGAAAACCAGCTTTCTTTCTTCTGAAAGAAGACGGGCGAATGGAACAGAAGAAACAGATAATCCTAGTAAACAATGAGAAAAAGAGAAAGAAAGAAAGAAAGAAAGAAAGAAAGAAAGAAAGAAAGAAAGAAAGAAAGAAAAAAAGAAAGAAAGAAAGAAAGAAAGAGGGAGAGAGAGAGAAGAAGGGAGGGACGGAGGGAGTGGGAGAGGAAATAAATATCTCTCTGCCTTGGCTGCAAAAGTGAACTTGGCACAACCATGGCTGAAACACAAAAAACCTGGAGGACTCAGAAGGTTGGAGAAAACTTATAGAAAGGTCTTATTGTCCAGACAACCCTCACACTGGAAACTCTACTTGGAAATCCAGCAGGAAAGGTCAGATTTGAAAACAAGGGTTTCTAGTAAAACAGGCACAAGAAATCTAATTGCAGAGGGTAAGCAATAGCAGTAAGGGAGAGCACTCGAGGCCCTAGTGAACAAGTGTGACATGATAACTAGCTGTTTTCCTTTGAAAATGTGCTATCTGGATCGATTTTCTAAAAAATATAGTGTTCTGATAGTTATTCATCCTAAGTAGTAACAAATACCTTTGTTAAGTTTTACAAGTATCCTTTTTGGAACTGAAAAGCAGGCGATTGCCATTTCACATACATATTTCCAGAGGCCTGAGGCTGCTTACATGGACACACCACTGCCCCCTGGTGGGAAGTCATTATTTTTGAGTTGAGGTGGTTTCTTGAACACCCTCACAGCTTAAATCGATGCCGTCACATCATCTGCCATATAAACTCTAAGCACAAAAAGAAAACAACTATTCATATTCGTTTTTGCATGTGAAGAAGGCCCAAATGAATTCTTAACAATACAGTGGCTGAGCAAATACAAATTCTTTCTCAGCTCAAGGGCAAGAACTATTTGAAACTAGCACCTGGAGACAATTTCACATCTGGGAAGGTTATTAAATACAGCATGGCCAGGCATGAGAATGGGAGGCCTTTGCCTGTAGATATTAAGCACTTTTAGTTTTATTATAGTTCTTAACTGTATACAAGTGACCCAAAACGACCTGAGCTGCCATACTATCTCCGAAATGGCTTTTCATTTAGTTTTCCGAAGCTTTCTCCCAGACCAATGGTTCATGGATGGACTCTAACGTTTCCAGAGAGAGTACGGTCAACCACATATCACTGCTGACACCGTACCTTTTTAACATACGTACTTGCCAGTTGTATATTCAACCTAATTGAAGGTAAAGGCAGGGAGAAAATAAAGCCGTCGGGAATGAGCGAGGGGTTTCACCAGCTGCAACATGTAAATGAAATAAGGAATCCAACTGGACAAGTTGTCTGGATAATGATCTGAGCAAAGTGCTGAGTGACTCTGATGTTCAGAGTGACTCTGGGAAGGGAGGAAGCAGAGGAGAGAGGAGCTCTCATTCCAGCCTCAGACTTTGAAGCAGATGCCAAAAATGCAAACACTTTAAGAGGCCTGTCTAACGCTATTCCTCAACATACGCCATCTGAGGAAGAGAGGTGAAGTCAGGTTCTGGCAGTGAGCTACGGCACCTGTGTTATTGGCTTATTCTAGGCATTTCTGAAGACTATCATCGTGATCCCATAAATACGTGGCAAAGCACACCCTTGCTTCACAGGCACTGCAAGAAGCCAGCCATTCAATACAAATAGGTAACCATGCATCACAGGCCACAAACAGGAGTCGCACCTTGGAGGGTCCCTCACTATGACAGAGTGATGACCCAAGGCTGAGTCTGAAAACAGCCTTACCTTGAGTTAGATTAGGCATATGGGCATTAAATATAGAAGATACTCAAAAAGGGGCCCCAAGTCCCCATCCTTCTCCACCCCAGACAGACATCTCCATCAAAAACTTAAAGGGTGCTATAAAATGAATATACTCAAAATATCTAGTTATTACCACCTTATCTCAAATCAGCTCATCAGCACACCTAAGGAAAGAAAGGGTCCAAGAGGGATACATTTTATTTAGGTGTTGAATAGTGAATTAGGTTATATTTAGACAATAGGATGCCACTCAGAACAGCGGAATTGAGTTGAAGCACCAGAGGACTCAGGACCCCAAAATGGGGGCATCAGGAAAGTGATAAGTCACTAACAGGCAGAAGGGAATACAACGTGGAGAGAGGTGAGCTCCAAAAATCCAGCTCTGCCAACCTCCCCACTATCGGAGAACCCAACACTCTCCAAGTGACCTGGGTAAAGAGAAGGCCAACACCGTGCCTTCTTAAAGCAAAATGGAACATGTTTAGGTTGATGCATTTTATGACCCTAGAATCACTCTTTAATGATTTTCTGCTGTTCCCAATAAATATACAGCAAAGTGATCAATGAAGAAGAGTGATCTATCTAGTATTCAATACAGCAATTGGTTCTACAAGAAGAGTGTGGTCACTGTGCAATAAACATGAAGAAAAACATGTGAGAGAGACCAGGGAACTGCTGTTTCTTGGACTTTGTTCCTTTCTCAACACAGTAAGACCCCTAGACCATGCACACGCCTGGCGTTCTATGATCTTTGTGTTCACAAAGGTAGGCAAGGGGCAAACTCACTCATTGAGTAAAGGCATGGATGTTCTCCTCTTGCTCTTCTGCACCATGTTGGCTTGATTCCTCAAGGAGATCCGAATCATAGCTGGGGCCAACCTACAGGGCTCCCCATCCACTTGCATGGGGATGGGTTTGTAAGTGAGCAGCACGACCTCCCGACACTGGTGTAGCCTTTCCCCATGGCCCCCAACTTGCAGGGCAGCCTGTAAATTCAAGAGTCAAAAGGAAGCTAGAAGTCAGTTCTTAAGAGTCAGGAAAGCTAGAAACCCCAAGTCCTCTATATATAACCAAAAGGCCTTTGATAAACATGTTGAAAATTGCTAGCCAGGAGCAGAATGGGAAACCTTGGATAAATCACCTTAACAAAAATAAACTAAAATTTCTAAACTTTTGATGAGCTTGACCACAAATTTTCATCGATAGCCAAATTTTGGTATTAATTTAGTCATGTTACTTTAACACAAAAGTTGTTCTTTGTGTTATCTAGTCAGTCCCACTGAATAACCAATATAAGGAGAAAAAAGAAAATAAAACAGATAAAGCACAGTTTAAGACAGCTTTTATACTATGTTTAAAAATAAGTGTATATTATAATATATATTATTTAAATATAAATACATAATACAGTTACATAACATATATATGTATGCATAACAGGTATACACAAACATGCTATAAGATGTAACTATGTATTATATATTAAATATATTCATACTTAAATATGCAGCCCACCCTTGGTTAATTTGCAAACGTGGGCAGGCTTTTTCCTTTTACCTAAAACCTCCTTAAGCTACCTCCAGTCTGTATAAGATCTAAAGAATGCAAAATAGGGGCGCCTGGGTGGCGCAGTCGGTTGAGCGTCCGACTTCAGCCAGGTCACGATCTCATGGTCCGTGAGTTCGAGCCCCGCGTCAGGCTCTGGGCTGATGGCTCAGAACCTGGAGCCTGTTTCCGATTCTGTGTCTCCCTCTCTCTCTGCCCCTCCCCCGTTCATGCTCTGTCTCTCTCTGTCCCAAAAATAAATAAACGTTGAAAAAAAAAAAATTAAAAAAAAAAAAAGAATGCAAAATAATATTAACTACTTGATTAAAAGCATTGTGAAAAGTATAACAGCTTTGAGGATCAAAATCAAACAGAGTTCAGTTCACCATTGTGGCCACAGAATGGAAAGTCAATCCAACATTAAAAGCCTGTTGTTGAGAAGAACAACAAATCAATAGAGCTTTCCCTCATTAGTTAAAATGTATGTGCGTATTATATATTTTATGTCATTATATTATATTATTTTTATGCTATATATTTTTATGTTATATATATTAGTGTGTGTATGTGTGTGTGTGTGTGTGTGTGTGTGTGTGTGTGTGTGTGTGTATATATATATATATATATACATATATATATATCTCCTTTACCCTTTTAGGGATGAATGAAAATAATACATGTTTGGTTGTAAAAGAATCCACAAAGTATACAATCTGAATACACATTGTGTATCTCCATCCAGATCAAGCTTTAGATAATTTACAAGTTCATATGTGCTCTTTCTCAGTCTTTTTATACCCTTCCCACCAACTAGGTAGTAACCAATACCCTGACTTCTATTACCATAGATTCAATTTGTTTGAAATTGAACTTCATACGAACCATACTAGATGGCTCTTCTGTCTCTGGCATCTTTTTCTCATCATTATTTTTGAGTAATATATAGCAGAATGTATTTATTTACTCTTTTGCTGATAAACATTTGGTTGTTTCCAGTTTGTAGCTATTGTTGACGTAAACTTTCCTGTATGAATCTCTTGGTAGATACATACTCTCTTGGCTACATACAATGAGAAGAATTGCTATGCCACTAAGTTTAGATGTACAGTTAACTTTGGCAGATACTGCTAAATAATTTTTCACTAAGGTTATATTATGCCTTTTGAGTTACCAATTTGTTTATAATAAATAGAAAAAAGGATTTTAATACTAACTTGCTCAAAATCTAAAGATTAAAACATACAATCAACTTGTTTCCATGTGTCTCTTTTCTGTGAATGAGGGATAAACTTTGAACTGAGACTTGTGATGTCAACTTCCCCTTATTTGGTTGCCAGATATTCATATTTATCTGATGCTTTGAATTTCTTTTTTTCCATTTGCATTAATTTGAACAATAGAAACCTGATTGTCTATAAATGCAAAGAGAAAAGCACAAAGGGACAAAAAGTAAAAACTGAGAAGAACTTCTTATTGATCACCTTTAATGTTAAAAGCATTCCATTGTGTACTTTGCATACAATTTTGTCAAACTGGTTGAGAAAACTAGAAAAGCAGAGCAGAATGCAGTGAGAATTTAGTATAATTCGTTTTGGCCTATCACCCACTCCTTTGTTATTCCATTTAAAGTTTTTCTTGGCTGTACTCAAATGCTCCACTTAAGTCAATGGATCAGAGTCACTATCTCATCTCCAGAACTTTTCCAATATATTCCCCTTGACTTCAAGTACTTGCAGTTGAGAATGTATCTCTTCATCCACTGTTCTGGAAACACCACTTTCTTCTTCTACCTTCCCCCCTCCCCCATCTTGACTAGACCTAATGACAAACAAAAATGCAGGACCTTCCAGGTGAGAACTTAGTCCTCTGAGTTTCACAGAATTGAAAACCGTTTTAAATACTTCCCAACCCCTTGGTATGTAGAAGGCATACACAGTACTGTAGAGCACTTTTAAGTCATCTTCTCAGCCTCAAAAATAGAACAGCAGCAATACCACAAACATGTAAATAGCTGTCAACGGCAGTCCCACTGATATTTCAGAATCAATCCAAGATCACTGCACAGGCACAAGGGGAATTACAGTAAAGAGCTTTTTGGGATAAAAACAGTTCTATTCCTGTTAGCACAGCCACATTATTTTTGGAACAAGTTAGAATAAAGGTAATATTTTAAATACTTTTTAGAAATAGTTATATTTCAGGGTGCCTGGGCGGCTCAGTCGGTTAAGTGTCTGTCTGACTCTTAGTTTCGGCTCAGGTCACGGTCTCACGATTTTGGGGGTTCGAGCTCCACATCAGGCTCTGTGCTGGCAGTGTGGAGCCTGCTTGGGATTCTCTCTCTCCCTCTCTCTCTGCCCCTCCCCCATTCATGCTGTCTCTGTCTCTCTCAAAATAAATAAATAAACTTAAAAATTAAAGAAAATGAAACAGTGGGTTTTTTTTTCATCACTCAGAATGCTCTAGGCTTAACCACAAATACCCCCATAATTTGCTGGAGATAATTATTTACTAGTAATAATATGGTGGTTTATTAATGACAGACATTCAATTATTTGTTCAATCCAGCATATATCACTCCTGTGAAAACGTCCAATACTGCCTTTCTGATAGAATAGGACTTGACAGGAAAACAAAGAAAGCCCCTGAACTAAGTGCAACCACTTATCTCCATTTATCGCCCTGTGGCCCAGACCATAACTTTCCTTCATGCCACAGGTGTATGGCTTGAGACTTTTGGTCTCTCCACACTATCCCCATAATACTTGCCTCCATCTTCCCCCAAAAGCCTCACCTTCTTTCTTACTACTCAAGCCCTTATTCTACTTGCTGTCCGATGAAAATCATGGACAATTCTGGGTTGACAGGGGCAGAGAAGAAAACGTAAAATACTTAGGAACAACTTTAGTAAAGCATATGCAAGAACCTGAAAACTTCACTGAAACTAAGGAACTGTAAAACTTTGCTAAGAGAAACTAAACAACAGCTAAATAAATGGAGAAAGAGAGGTCTGTAGACTGGAACACTCAATACTGTTGTTAATATGTCAATTCTCCCTAATTTATGGATTCAAAGCAGTCCCAATTAAAATCACAACAGATATTGGCAAGGATGCGGAGAAAGAGGATCTCTTTTGCATTGTTGGTGGGAATGCAAGCTGGTGCAGCCACTCTGGAAAACAGTATGGAGGTTCCTCAAAAAACTAAAAATAGAACTACCCTACAACCCAGCAATTGCACTACTAGGCATTTATCCACGGGAGACAGGCGTGCTGTTTCGA